GTCATTCAGCACTACCTCAGGAAAGCGATGCAGAACAAAAATATGTGGCATGAGCTCAAATAAAAACACAAAAAACCTCATTGCGATGTTTAAAAAGAGGCAAGTGTGAGACATAAATAAATGTGAAATAACAAAAAACAGTGCTGCATATTTGAAAACACAAATAAAAATGATTCAATTATTGCACAAGAGAGCCGATGAGCTGATTGCACTGAAAATTCTTTCTTGACAGATTTGTAGAGTTTAATAATCTACAAAATAGCAGCTGTTTGAGCTGTGCAACAGTCTGATGGTGGTTGCAAAGAAGCTTCCACAGAACTGCAATGACCTGCACCTCTACGTTACTGTCTGCCTGAAAGCAGGAGTGAGAACAGACCGTGGTCGGGGTGTGAGGTGTCCCTGAGAAGGTTTTTTGCAGCGTTGTTGGGCCAGGCCCTAAATAGATGGCAGGGTGACTCCACTTGTCCTCGTTCTCATGCTAGAGATATGCTGCTTGTCAGCACACTCTCAGCGGTGCCTCTTTAGGAGGTGCTGAGAACATCTGGACTCAGATGTGACCTTTTCAGCCTTTCTTGATCAGTGAGGTGGTGTGCAGGGACAGACCATACATCACATCAACTCCCAGGAAGTTCATGTGCTCCATGCTCTCTGCTGCGGTGTCGCTGATGTAGAGCAGTCTGAACGAGGGGTTTCTTCCTGTAATCAGTCACCAGTTTCTTGGTTTCATTCACATTCAGGAGAAAGTTGTTGTTGCTGATCCACACTGTGGAAAGCTCCACTATCTCTCATCGCTGTCCTGGATCAGACCCACGGCTGTTGTATTCACAGTATACAAAAATCTGCAGAACAATCGTGTCATCATGTCAAGGCTATAGTCGCTTAAGCAGGTGACTGAGGGTTTCTTTGGCGCTGGGATGATGTGATTTGTAGCAGGATGGCACAGCATCTTGGAAGCATGCAGACTTAAACAAAAAAAATTCTGTGGGATCTCAAAATTTATTTTCATTTTCATAACATGCAGCACTTTTATGAAAATCTTGGATGCTATGCAGGCACAAGAGGTTCCTTGGCTCACTGGTTATTAAAAAAAGTCACATCAAACTATGTGATGATTTTGTGCAAGATTAAAATGCTAAGTGCAAA